TCTCTCTGTGTATACAATAATATATATATATATATATATATATATATACACACACACACACACACACAATTCTCATCACAAGTGAAAGATGTTAAATCTAATTATTTTTTAATTAAAAGGAAAAGCTTTCATAACACCCTCTTTGAGCACCATTTTTACTGACAACTGAGTGAATATTAATTATGTACAGAAACTTATTCCCAGGTAGCCAGTATTCTAGAGATATATTTAAATTTAACTGATAGAATACAATACTGAGCTCAAAAACAAATAATATATCAAAATAAACTTTATATATGTACAAAAAAAGTATTTCAATAATTCTGTTCTGAAAAATGTTAACTTTGCATCTACCCATCTTCATGTAGCAGAGATAAGAAAAACTTTAAAATACCCAATAAACTAGGTTCCCAATATCTGGAGGTTAAATGAAAAGTTTCTAAAATAATTTGATGAAATGAGTTATATTTTTGTCAATACCCAGACACACAAGACAGTAAATTAGTCACTAAACTTGCCAGGTCTACTTTGTATGAAACTAAAAAATTTCAAAAACACACACAAACTTCAGATTATAAGCTATCACTTGTACAAGTAAATTTTTTTAAAGTACAAAATATAGAAACCAAGTACTATTGTTCAGTGTATTAAAAAATATATACAGAAAGCATGCTATATAGGTATTCAATAACTTGCCTGCGTAGCATATTGTTGCTGATTGTTGTTGGGGAATGTATTTCTATAATCCAACCCATGAACTCACTTGACCTGTTGATTAGTTCAAAAAAGTTCATCCCTCTTTTCTTCTGTCAAAACTTTTGAATCTGTTACCAACAGAATATGACGATGCACAAAAATAAATTTTACCAGATCTTATTAATTAATGTTTAAACATTTTGGATTCCAGAATACTAATTATTTTAAGTTTATATAACTTCATTAAGTACATGCAGTTAACATATTCAGTAATGTTTCAAACTTATGAAAAGTAAAAAAGCATCAGTAAACACTGAGATATCAAACTTTTCCTCTAATTTCTTTCATACTGACTTTAACAGTATATTAAATAAGAAATGTTACAACATACTCAATTTTATATACATATATCTCACTAAGAAATCTGTGTAATCATCTAAATGTTTTTGCATGGCCTTAAATGGGTTTGTCAATAAAACATATTTTAACAGGTATAAAACTAATCCAAATATACATACTATATACTGCATAATGAAGATACTCTTTGATGGGAGGCTTCACATTTTTACAATTTTCTGTATTCATTGAGAACATGTTTATATCTTATGTTTATTTATACAAGCATTTCATTGATAAATTACTTAAGACATATGATTTAACTTCATATACCTGGTGTTACAGTATAAGCACTAGTTTTGATTTTATACAGTCCTTTCCAACTTTTGGACTTTTCTCTGTTAATGAGTTGGTGATCAATTAGTTTTTGTTTAACAATAATTTTCTTATGCATTTGGCTTTGTTCATTTCCAACTTTTGGACTTTTCTCTGTTAATGGGTTGGTGATCAATTAGTTTTTGTTTAACAATAATTTTCTTGTGCATTTGGCTTTGTTCAGCAAACTTTCTTTACTCATTCTTTTATTTTAAAATTTTTTATAATTCATTGTTTTTGTTAAATGACATTTTTCTTTTTAAATTTAGTTGTATCTCTTAAATACTCTGAGGCTAAACTTTCTTCTTTTTAAGACCAATATAAAAAAGTTGTATATTTTTGAAAATGTGATTTAGCACAGACACATCACATAACCAAAAAAATAACTCAAAAAACTTGTGAACAAAAAACATAGGTGGTGTAGTGAGAGTCTATAGAAAAATAATCTCTTTTGGTTTGATTTAATTCTAATGAAAATCTAATAAGTTCTAAGAACTGACTATAAATTCTTTTCCATGATATTCCCCTTATTATAGAAAAGATAATAACATGCTGGAAATTTGGGCTAAAAAGAAGGATTTGGATCTGTTTTGAACAATGGAGATGATCAACTAAGAGAGGTTTTATCAAGATATTTAAAATTATAAAGGATTAGATAAACTTCCCATAGAACCTTTTTTAATGGTAGGATGAGAATGTTGTAGGTAGGAAATTTAACACTACAGGTAATAAAAACCATAAAACAATATAATAATTTTGTAACTACTTACTGTAATGTGTTCCATGGATAACACTACACATTAGGTTGTACTATGGTTCATGAGGTACAAACATTGATACCTTACTCACCCATTACTCTACATACGAGTTTAGATCATGAGAAACTATGTTGCAGAGAAGTTGTATATATATATGTATTTCAAATGACTTTAGAAGAAGAATTTAAAATATATTTTCCTTATCTTGGTCTCCATTTGTTTTCCTTTCCCTTGGTTTTATGGAAAGGAGCAATGTTTGAAAAGCACTGGCACTCGCCCTTCCACAAGATATTGTCATGGTTTTATCACCATAAATGAGACCATAAATCCACCTTGAAACACTCAGTGGTGAAATGTTTCTCACATGCAACACTGATTTTATCAAAAGAAAATGTCTTCATGGTGTGTTGCATTCCTAAGTCATGTAGTCCTTTCTTTTTTTTCTTTATTGTACATGAGATCTGATCAGATTTGGGAAACATGGCAAAAATGTAATCCCTTATTATTGTACTTATTGCTAATACAATCAACTATGTGCCTTACACAAGGTCACATTTCTTAGCTGGAATTTAGTAGTGAACTAACAGGGTCTGTATAAGTCTAAATCTGAACATTGGAACTCCTCAGAAATAAGAACAGAATGATCCAGCCATATTATTAATAAATTATGGAATTTCATTTTAAATGGCTGTTGAGAAATAGTTGTAAAAGCATATTTCTCAACTATTTTTTCCAGTATTTAACATGTTTCAGTGCTCTCTTGCTGGAAACTAGTGACTAGGGTTCTAGTTTTTAGGTTCTTGGTGTTAATTTCTTGCAGTTGTACCTACCTTTAAAGCTATAATGAACAGTAATCAAGCTAACAACATTCCTTACCTAATGTAATGACACCAAAAGAAGAAGTATTTTTGCAGTTAAACAAGAGCTGTTTTACTGTTTGAGTAGTATCTGTTTAAAAAAGCATAAAAATTTTGCATGGAGATTCCAACATATTAAACTGATAAACAATCACTGAAAGTTTAAAAGCGAGGGGGGAGGAGATAAACCAGGCCTTGACAAATATTTTCAGATCTAGCAGCCAGCCCCAAAACTCAGGAGCCAGGTATGCCTAACCTAACTTCACTGCTGTTTGCACTGGAAAATGGGGATACATATATTTATTTACTTTCACAGCAATGAGTGCATGCTAAAGATCACATGATATCAACAACCACTTGATAATATTGCATGAACTAACTGCCTTTAGTCCCAACTGAGTCTGAACATGTTCACCGATTGGTTGCATATGTTCCACTGGTCCCATAATGACCACTGGAGGGTCTGCATGTGAGTCGGACTAAAAGGAATGAGTGATTCCAAGGGTGCCCACAACCCCAAAAAGAGATAGAACTGTACATTCTGGTGGAAAAGGAGGAAACTGTATTTGAAGAACTACCCTTTCCATGGAATTAATAAATATCCCTAAATGGACAAGGTATTGTGTGGGAATAAGAATAGACTTCTCCTTTTTAATTTTTTATAAGAATCTCAGCTTTCACAACTTGTGATAACAGAGTTTGAGTGTGAAATTCTGGCAAGTGGCAGGAAGGGGTGAGAAGAAGCCAGTCGTCCATGTAATGGTGAGTGTAAATGCCCAATAAGTGAGAATGGCATGAAAAGGATCTGACTATCCAGCAAGAAACGTATGGTGCAGATGTGAGGCAAAAAGGAAAAGCATGAAACTGAAAAACCTGGTTGCAGTGCATGAAATGTAGATAACACTATGAAGACTCTGCAATCGGAATACAAAGGTAGGCATCGATAACATCGAATTTTGTCATCCAAAGACTGGTGAAAAATGCCACCAAAGGGAAAGAAATGTCTCTATTGTAAACCAAGGAGGCAAGAATAAATGATTGAGACAAGAAAGGTCGATGATAGGTCACCAGTTGCCCATATTTTTGGGTACTACAAACAGATGGGAATAAAAACCCTTGAAAGAGGGGAATCAACATGCTCTATGGCCTCTTTGTGCCAAAGGTCCTGGATGGCTTGAGCTTGACAGCTGTATGGATGAGGAATGGAAAGCCAACCAGTATGAAATACAATGGAGGAGGAAATGTTAACTGGATAATCAATCCTCTCCTGGAAACTTGAATGATTCACTAATCTGTGGTGAAGGTCTCCCATACTGACACGAACCCTCTGGTTCAAGACCCGACAGGACCAGACCCTATAAGGTAGTCACTGATACCATAGTCTGCTCTCCACCCTAGAGAAGGATACCTGTTGGTAAGATTAGAATCGCCCTTGTGTTCCAATGGATCATGGCATCAAAGCTGAATGTTTGGAAACTCGAGTGGGAGATGCAGGAAACCATCTTGTATAAGCCCTTTGGAACAGTCGAGAAGCCAGGGTAGAGAGGTAAGTGTGGAGATGGGCCACATCCACTCAAGATTCCATGGAATATCAGGAATACCAGCAAAAATCAACTGCCTGAGAAAAGGAGCTTCTCTGAGATCTCTAAGGGCCGAAGCAGGAAGACAAATTCCCTCAACCAAGGTACCTCTCTCTCTCCAAAAGATCCCCCCCCCCCCCATAAAGAAGAAGATTTGTAAGCTATAGGAGAAATATTCAAAACATTACCAACTTGGTGTACTAGTTGCCATTAAGATGCAGGATGCAGAATGTTTGTCCAAGGCTCGTGATTAGCTGATCAAGCAAAGAAATATTTGGGAAATATAGAGTCTAAATTGTCACCAGTCCACCCTTGATCCCCCACAAACTCAGCCTCAGAGCCAACAGGAGTAAAAACATAAGACGACCACATGTAAGACTCTCTCTCTCTGAGTATGAAGAACTGTATGTCCTCTGCATCATAAGACCAGCACCATAATTTCTGCCATCGAGAAAAAGTGAAAAAGAAGTAATAACGGGGAGCTTATATGCAGATCTGGTAGATAAAGTGCATGGATGTAGGTAGAGAGTTACAAGATTAAAATCGCTATGGCCAATACATTAGGGTATAAATACTGAAGCAAGCAAAGTACAATGCTTAGCTAGACAGAGAACAGAAACTTTCATTGGGATAAAGCTAAAGCATCAGTGGAGATGTGTTTTGGAAAAGTATTTTTATACTAAATACCATGGAAACTGGTCACAATACAGCAGAGTAGTTGTCAAAAAACCCTAAAATTATGATTTTTTTTGTGACATCATGACCCCCCCTATAATTACTAAATTTGGCAAGTCCAACAATTTTGTTTGTACAAAAGTATCTTAGTACCAAATCTCATGTAAAGTGGTCAAAATATGGTCTAGCAATTGACCAATAAGCCCAAAAATATGCTTTTTTCTGAGCTCTGACTCCTCTAAAAAAAAAAGACTCAAAATGTGTAAATCCAACTTTTTTAAGTCATTGTGTTGGGCATATGAAAATATATATTTGTGCCAATTTTCATCTTGATTGCTGTAAATATGACTGCACAGAAGCCCAAAATATACATATTGGGCAAACTGGACCAAGGTATAACCTTATTAAGTTCCAAGTCAATCCACCATGAAGGAACGGTGGTTGATTGTTTGTATGTTTGTTTTGAATTTTCAAGCAAAGCTACCAGAGAGCTATCTGTGCTAGCCGTCTCTAATTTAGCAGTGAAAGACTAGAGGGAAGACAGCTAGTCATCACCTCTGACTGCTAACTCTTGAGCTACTCTTTCATCAATGAATAGTGGGATTGACCGTCATATTACAATGCCCCCATGGCCAAAAGGGTGAGCATGTTTGGTGGGAAGGGGATTTGGACTTGCAGCCTGCAGGTTGCGAGTCAAGTATCCTAACCACCTAGCCATGCCGGGCTGGTGGTTAATTGAAAATTGTTTGGAAGAAGAAGAAACAATAGAAAAAATAGTCTCTGCAGAGACATAAAAATAAAATAGTGGTACAGGTTTAGGAGCTATCACCTACTTAATGAAATGGATGACAAGATGTTCATATTCTTAGCAAAGTACAAAAAGGGGAAATATGTTCAGTGATATAGATACAATTATAACTGTGAGAAATTATTGTTTACAAATTTTAATTCCACATACATTATCACACACCTGTAACACCAAGTTTTTCCAACTCTTCAATGCATGACAATGGACAGTAGGCTCCTCCATACACCATTGGCCCTAAAAATATATTAATATGACAAGTTTTATAAATAGAAACACCTAAAACCATTCTTAAAGGGAAAAAAATGATATATATATATATATATATATATATATA